CCGGCCGCCGTCTCTTGCTCCCCGCCGCGGAGCAGAGCCCCGCCGAGCAGCGCCGTAGCCGCGAGGAGGCTCTCCGCGTCGGTCGGTCGGCCGTCGCCGTGGGCCGGCCCGGAGACTGGGCAGGGAGGCGGCCCGGTCGAGTCCTGCCGGGGAGAGGCGGCCCATCGTCATGCGGGGGCCGCTCAAGGGGGCTGCTGCTGTCGCCTGCCGTCCTGGGCACTCGTGCCACCCCTCTTGGACCCTGCGGAGACTAGTGGGGCTTGGGGCTTTTGCAGGATCCGATGCCCCGGTCGCTTAACAGCGCTTGGAAATCACGAGTGGCTTTGGCCTGCGCTTATGTATTTATTTATTAGTTTAATGTCCTTTTGTAGCTGCGCTCTGGATTGTGAGATTTCAGCACCGGCGATGGCATACATCTTCCTTTCTATCTGTAATGAATAGAAACTTTTCACCTAAAGAAAACCCAGCAACAGCAAAGAGAACATTAATTGAGCTTTTCATATGATCTCTCATTTGCAAGATGTGGGCCTTTGTGGGAGACATCAGACTTGCAACCACTTTGTGAGAGCTTGTTTTACTTACTGCTGTTGCTGTTTCCTAGACTGCCTTTAATTTCCAGGCAGTCGAGATCTGTGCTCACACTTTCAGTATTGTTCATCCAGGTATTGCAGTATTTCATTTTCACTGGAGCTACCCTGCGCAGTTAGATTAATAAGGACAAGGTGATCAGATTAACTGTTTTGTCTGAGTTGCTACATTGCTGTGTCCAACATCAGCAATACTAACTCAGTACATTGGAGTAAATGAAATGGACTTCAAACGGACTTCACCTTTGGTTGCATCAGCTTTCCAGGGACTGTGATTATAAACTCCCATTTGTGCCCTGTTGTGCCTCCTTGTGACTTGTGCTACTTGCACGAGCAAGATTTATTCTGACGTAATTGGCCATGCCAATACTCCTTCTTTTGAAATAGAGGCGTACATAGAAGGGTTAGTTAGCCAGATCTAAAACCGCTTCCTTCTTAATTTGCCCTGGGAATATTTGGGTTTGGGCAATAGGCTGATGAGAAACAAATTCAGATTCTCACTTAAGTCTCAAGGTTTTGCATATAAACTAAGAAAGAAACGTAATGTACTTTCCTGTGTATTTTTGTTAGTACATCTATAAAAGATACATCATTCAGCTACATTATACATGTGTATGTGTAATACAAAGACAAATTTATCCAAGAGCTTCCTCTCCCCTACAGTCCTTCTGGTTCTGATCCTCTGATTGTCTCTGTCTCTGATTTTGTATGACTTTTCTGAGGGTACTGGTCACTTGAGGACTTACTTCCAAGTACTGGTACTTTTAAAGGGGGAGCACTTACGTGAGGTATATAGGGATTACACATATGAAAATATGGTTGTTTTTTAACATACTAGTTAACGTGATAACCCTATGAAAGCAAGCACAGAAACTAGTCAGAAGGCAAGTCTTCACAATACTTATGCTCCTTTTTACTTATTTCAGTGTATATTTATCTTTGTGCTTATATCCTTATCTGCAGGCAGAGCTAGGCCTTAATGAGCACCACCAGAATGAAGTGATCAACTACATGCGCTTTGCTCGTTTCAAGCGTGGCCTGTGTCTCAAAACAGTGGATTCTTGTTTTCAGGACCTTAAGGACAGCAGGTACTTTGGGGGGTGGTTCTGGGCAAGAATAAAGCTAAATATGCTAGCAACAATTGCAGGTTTAAATGCTTTATGGGGCAAGTTTTGTCCGTTTACATTTGTATGTTCTTAGTGAGGAAGACAGACCCAATAATTTTCCAAATGTTGCAAGTCAAGTCTTTTTAAAACTAAGTTGTTCAAATTTTTAGGAATTAACGTAGATATCGGCAGCATGACATTGCTTTATATCTTGCTTCTGATGTCTAAATTTGATGTAAGACTGTAGCGGAAGTAAGGTTTGTGATTGTAATGTTTCCAAGAGAAAATTTAAATACCATAAGCAATTAGTAGTGCCATGGTCATCTAAGAACTACTGACAGTGAATGTTTTTAGAAGGACATTGCATTATATGAGTGATACCTGTGTAGTGAGGTCTCATAACAATGCAAAATTGTTACTTTTGTCATACATGACTCATCTTGACTGCTCTGTTTAGACTTGTTGAGGAGACCTTCACAGTTGATGAGGTGATAGACATGCTGGATGGACTGCGGACTGTTGTACACAGTGAAGTGGAGTCAGAGCTCATAAATACAACTTACACCAATGTTTTACTTCTGCGGCAGCTCTTTTCGCAGGCTGAGAAATGGTACCTTAAGTTACAGACAGACGTCTCTGAATTGGAGAATCGGTAACATATATTGGACTGTATATTGGACTGTATAGAATGCCTTTCAATAATAAGAAAACTTCAAAGTGTTAACTATTTGCATTCTTTTTCTAACCATAGAAAGCTGTTCTTTTACTATTGTATTGATGATAGGTTAGTTTCAAGTCTTCCATCTATAAAGTAGCAAGATACACAATAATCTCAAATTTGTCAGGAAGATGTTTTTATTGGTAATATTCTTACTTGAATTAATCAGTTAAGAGCAGGTGATAGGATTTCATTAAAAAGCCTTTGTTGTCTGAGTAGATTATATTTTAATCAAGGATGCTAAATCTTACAGCTCTAATGCATATACCATACCACTGCATGACATGATCTGTTGCATTTATTGTATTTGCATAGGACTTCATTCTGTACTTCTAACGAGAATCTTACGTGCAATAAAGAGCATAGCATCAGCCTGGTAAAAATGTGTTTCATAACATAGCTCTTTCACTAAATAAGTGCCTCCCTTTATTTTTCTTTTCAAGAGAATTGTTGGAACAGGTTGCTGAGTTTGAAAAGTCAGAATTTACATCTTCGAACAAGAAGGTAGAGTTTTATTTTAATCAAATCATAATCAAATGTCATGTGGAGTCATGACAGGTCTTTAAAATACTTAGTACTGACTCTTTGTGCTTAAGAGAGGAAAACAAAACAAAAACAAAAAAAATGCCTTTTTTCAAAACAGTCTTTGAAAGTCTCTAAAAAGTAGCATTTTGCAGTTCGGCACCAAGGCCTTGGCTGTTTCCAGATTGCGGATTCTGCACACCCAGGGCATGCCTCATAATCCTCATCCCAAAGTCAGCCAGACCAGGGATGTGTTGGAGCATCTGCTCCTGGGTTCCCTTCCCCCTGGAAAGTGGGGTAAGGCTGGGACATTCGCTTGTCCCAAGGCTTTGTCCCAACATGGAGTCAAGAGCTGAGAAGATTCCACAATACAGATATGACTCTAGCTTATCTTGTATGATTATGGTTGCACCTTATTTGGTTTGTAGCCTAAATGTATATTTAGTTAATATGTATTACATTTGAAGACTTAAAATAAGAAAATTATTTTGAGCTGTGTAAATATTTTTTACTCTTACAATCACTCAAATATTTTTTCTGTTTTCCTTACTCTTTTGTCTTTTGGTTGCTGCAGCATTGGTAGTCTTTTGTAAATTCAAGTTTGCAATCCTTTTATGTCTCTATGCAGTATTTTTGTTTAACTTCAGCTGAAAGTGAAGTATATAACTTAGGAGCCAAGGTACCAGTAAAAAGTGAACTTGAAATAAAAGGACATTCATTTCCTTTACAAAAGAAAGCTGAATTGACTGTCAATACTTTTCTTCCTCCTAGAAATCTGTATAATTTAATTTTTTAACCTTTATTTCTTTAGCCCAGTGCAGATCTCATTAAACCAAAACTGGCTCCATTAAATGAAGGTGGGTCAGAACTGCTAAACAAGGTAAGAACTTGTCTGTTCGTGCAGTTGTGGTTAATGACCATTCTGCTTATTCAACTGAACTGGATAGCTGTTGGATAATGTGCCTGTCACTATATAGACATCAAGGCAATATACCCCAGAATGTAAAGTAAAATGCTAATAAATATTGTAAAGCATATTAAATTTATTGTGCAGTTATGGTCTCTAACAGGTATTACAATATTGACCTTCCTTTTGCAAAGACACTTTCGCTGTTGTAATTATTTATTTTACCATTTAATGAGGTGCATTAGTAGAAAGCAGTATTCGGTTTGTGCCATGCAGCTGGCTGGCTTTCCAACAAGGAAATAAATTAAAATATGTAGCTGGCTGAAATGATCAGGTTATCGGAGATTTTCTGTATCACTCAAAGTCAATCCTATTACATTTCAGTCTTTTTTCTTTTGTTAGCTGGTTAAATTCCTTCTAAAGAAACAGGCATTTAGAGTTTGGAATTTACTAGTTTTGAAAATGCCTGATTTCCCACTTGCTAAAGATTTTCAGAATTACAAAACACATTATAGTATTTGATGTTATCAATAGTTTTTATTAGGTATGGAACTCGTTTAGTTCAACTGAACTTTTTTAAAATGCCACACTTCTTTATGTTATCTTTATACACTTTTAAGTTATGGGCAGTCAAGAAATTTAGTGAGGAGTTGTGTTTTCTGCCTTCTAGCCTACATTACCAAAATGATCTGTGAAGTACAGTGTCTGAATCAAATTGTTGTTACCCATTAAGATAATTAAAGCATTCAAGAATTCAGACTTGTATTTTACTTATAGATCAATGTAGTTCTCTTTCAAAAATAATTTCAACATCTGTTTCACAACAGTTTTTGTTGAATATGTACATCTGATGTCTTTTTTTCCTCAAAAATAATTCAATATTTATATGGTGAATTTACTCTGACTGATAAAACATGGTTATTTCCTGTGACACAGAACATGATATCCAGTAACCTGGTATTTGTCTCTTTTAAACAGGAACTAGGAATAAATTCTTACTTGCCTGTTGATTGAAAATACAAATGTGAGCAGCAATGAGATTTGCGTCTCTGAACATGCAATTTTCTTTATCGTGAATCTTGATACTAAAAAGATGCTGAGCTTACTAATCTCAATTCAGTAAAGCATGTGTCAAATTTAAGTGAACGGTCCTATATATTACAGTAAAATTGGGAACTTAAATTTCTTGCTGACTGAGGCAGAAAACACAATAAATAAATGGATTACTGACTTCTTATGAAGGCCATTTTTATAAGCGTTTAGAAGCTTGTTTGCTTTCCTAAGCTGTGAAGCGTATTTTCTTACCTGAAGTATTTGGAAAGTTCAAAATAGCACAAGAGTTCTCACAGACTTTTTCTTGTTCATTAACCCAAAGACAGTTGCTTGTCTCCAAGAAGAAAATGAAAAATTGAAGACCAGACTCAAGACCATAGAAACACAGGTAAATTCCCTGTAAGCTTGGATACTTAACGCTGTTTGTATATTAAAAAATACCTAAATAAGAATCCCATGGTTATTATTCTCATGTTTTCAATTAAAATATGTTTCTGAGACTTTACATTTTCAATGTATCACAGGCTACAGCTGCACTAGATGAAAAGTCCAAACTAGAGAAGTCACTGAAGGATTTACAGATGATCCAAGGAGATCAAAAGGTAAATATAATGAGGATTTCCTGCACCAGCACCCCCATTTAACACAAATGTTGCCTGTACATCTAAAAAGTTGGTCTGTATGGTGTGTTTCTTTTCTGGTAAATATGAAGGTTCGTTTTAGTATCGTCATGTTCCTGCTGACATTGTCATGTTCCTGCTAGTCTGTCAGTCAGCAGAAACCAGAACGAGTTAGTATCGTCATGTTCCTGCTGACATTGTCATGTTCCTGCTAGTCTGTCAGTCAGCAGATAACCCAGAACGTTAGTTGATTTTATGACACGTATTTTGTGTCACATAGACCATGATAAATTATTATCAGAAAGTATTATTCCAGATACCATCAGGAAGTAGTATTTCAGAGTTCATATTGACAGGGCTGATATTTGTATTAACAGATACAAATTTATTTCTGTTTGTTTCTTCCCATTTACTAATGAAAGAATGATATCTAACCTGTTTTTTGTAGCAACGATAAAAAAACTAGTTCTTTCAAGCATTTGTCACACTTGATATTGACATGGACAAGCCAGACTTGCTGCTTCTCACTTCAGACTTTAAAAACCTAAATACTTACATGTAAGTGTCCAGTGTCCTATATTCTTTAACATCAGTTGAAGTTTTGCTACAAATGTCAATGATCATGGGTCAGATGACAAATGTTTGATTTTATGTAGTTCTACCCATATCAGCGTAGTGTCAAAAATGGTTCACTGTTTATTTTTACTACTTGAAGTTCTTAATCTTTTTTGTAAATGAGGATTCAAACATGGTGAGTTGTTGCTGCAGAAAAAAACATAAGCTAGAAGTCATGCAGATTGACACAAATAAATCTGTTCAGGTCACCTTAGTATTTTATTTTTGTCAATAATCAGAATTTTCTAAAGTTTGTTCATGTGTGATTGTTCCTTAATTTAAAACATTTCAGTTCAAACTTTTAACAAAATTAGAACACTTTAATCCCATTATTTTGACAAACTGACTTTTTAAAATTCCTATAGTATTTACAGATTTGGAAGTGAAGTTCAATATCATAAAACATTTCCACTTTAATTTTCATATTTTAATCCTGATTTCTTTTTATTTTGCTTTCTAACTGGTTTATGGTATGTACTTTGGCTTTCTTAATATGTTATAATTTTATCTAGTAACTTTCAAAATCTGTATTCAATAATATTATTTAATAGGGAACTTGATTTATCAGTCATGGCAAATATTTTCTGTATCTGTCTTGTTAAGCCTTAAATTATTAAAGGTTTAAAATATTAAAGGGGTTTATTAAATCCTGGATAATAGTGTTTGTAATTTTAAAAGATTGGAACCAAATCTTATCCTACTTTTCTGGTTAAGCATGAATTGGCCTCAATGTCAGGGCTGCTGAGTATCTTCAGCTTTCATGTCCTAATTTGCTATAATCTGACACTTTCTTCTCCAGCTCTTACATTTTCTATTTACAGGCATATGTATGTTGTTGAAACTAGCTAGTAGATATAGTGCTGAAATGTACTACTTTGTTTAATCAATTGAAGTATCAGTTGTTTGGAGAAAATGCTAAATTTTATCTGGTTTCACTCCATATTTTTATAGGATGGGTGTCAATAAGATCATATGAACCCAGTTGCTCATTAAAGCAGTAGTTTTCAAACTCTTTGGACAAACAAATGACTGCCAAACCACAGTGGTTCTTAGGGACCAACTCTTAGCTCAGCAGATTTCTACCTTTTTTTTCCTTGTGGGTTTGGTTTTTTTTTAATAGTTTAATATGGTTCCACACACCAAGTGTGAACCATGGTTTGGGAGTAACTGCTCTATTGGATCAGTTTAACTTGAGGATTTAGAATTTTTACATAATTGACTTATGTCACAGTTTAGAAAAATGATCACTGTCTATTCTAATCTGAAACATTATAATGTAGTGCTTTTCAGCACTGTAGCTTTGGACTCTATCTCAAAATTCAAAATAAGCTTTTCTTCTGTACAGGTACTATTATCAAGTGGTTTCCTATGCTCAAATCTTACCTTCCACATAGAAAAAGGAGCAGAGCTTCCTTAGTTTTAGATTTTTGTTCTTTTTAAGGTGCTGCTGGTTCAGCCTCATCCTGAGTCATTATACTTCTGAGAGTTTGAACTTGAGCTTTTAAACCTGAGAGGGTTTGTTTTTTTTTTAATTGAAATCTGTAGAACAGTTACATGAATATAATGTTTTGTGACCCAGAACTGATGGCCAGAAGTGTTTGGGTTGTTTCTTCTTACAGGGAAACAGCAAAGTTGCTTCACAAGCAACTGTGGAGGCTCTTTTTGTAATGCATCGGAGAACAGTGCAATATTGGTAGCTGATTGATAATATGAGCCTTAACACTTTCATCCTTTCCTACCAGTATTACACTAACAGCTTTTGAAACGCCTGTGATATTATACCTGCTTTAAAAATACATTATAGCATAGGCATTCAGACCTTAAGCTGTAATTTACTATTTCTGTATGCTAAATAACTTATTGTGATATTCTTCACCCTGTGGCTTCACCTAATTCCTAAAAAAGTGAAAGACTTGAAAAAAAGTACAAGGACTTGAAATCTCAACTTGGCAGAGAAGACATTCCAGCCATCTTTAAAATGCATTTATTAACAATTTTTTAAAGTTATAAATTAGTTAGTGCTTTAACTAATTTTTTTTACTTAAAGCACTTCTAATTTAGGCTTTACAGGAATAACGTGAACACAATTATTAAAAATTAAGATGTACCCACCTTATGTGGAATTTTGCACTTGACAGTTTAAATATTTCTTCTCTTGCATTTGAATATTTTAAATATTTCTTCTTTTGAAGATTAATGCAAACCAGGATATCACTGAACTGGAAAATAAAGTGGCAGCTTTGAAATGCCATTTTGAGAAGACTTTGAATGACTCTACTGCAAACCAAAAATTCTTGGAAGAGAACTTGGTGACCACAAAACATGACTTGCTTAAGGTTCAGGATCAGCTATCCACAGCTGAAAAGGTTAGCATTTTATTGTAATGTAAAGATGAGATCCTTACTCATATTTTAACTGATTAGTAATTTAACAAGCATACACTACAGGATGCAGAGTTCACTGGGTCACGCTTGTGCCAGTGTATTTTTGTTATTTCAGTGGAAAAACACGTTATACATAAAACAGCAAAAACACAACTAACTGCATGATTATAACTAGATGAATACTTAAAAATTGCCCATTTGTCTGCATAGAAATTTTTGAATGAAAAGTGTATTCCCAGTCTTCAGAAGACTTTTAGCCTGATTTCATTAGAAAATAAAGTTTGTGTTTCTCTGTCTCTCCCAGTAATATCATTTGAATCTACTAGCTGACTTCATCTAAATTTGAGTAAGTTAGAGAAACTACTATTCTGAAACTGAGGAGGAAAAGCAAGTCATCTTTTTTAAAAAGCGTATTAGCCTGGTTTTCATAATATGTAAATAATATGTTGATGTTATTATTATGTAGGAATTAGAGAAGAAATTTCAGCAAACAGCTGCCTATCGCAACATGAAAGAGATTCTCACTAAGAAGAATGAACAGATAAAGGATCTACGTAAAAAGCTTTCCAAGTAAGTGGTGCTGTTCTGTCTGTCCAAACAGGATCCTTGTTCTGGATCCATGTTCTACTCCCATTTTGTTTTTATAAATGTGAAGCTGTCTCTAAAACAGACTATAAATTTTCCCTTAAAAAGAATTTCTAATAGGCTGTTCCCTGATTTTTGACAAGCCAATCCTTTTAATGGGTGCTAGGTGAATAGGACTGATGTGTGCAACAGCAGCTGCTGTGTAGCAAGTAATGAGAGAATTTACTACGGAGAGGATATTCATGGGTGTGGTAGATAAGCCCCCAGGTGCTATACACAGAGGTACAAGTAGGAGATGTACTGGATGCTTTGGCATTATCTTATTTCTTCCACGCTTGTTTATGGGAATGAGAAGTCCACTGTATGTAAGCAGGTTTAGGCCTGTATTGAGTAAAGAAAGATGCACCCTGGCCATTATATTGCATAGAAGACTATCGTTCTGCAAATGTCAAGTGAGCTTTGGCAACATGGATGCCTTAGACCTATGCTGTAGGATGACAGAGGTGGAACTTAAAACTTCTGTTTAAACTTCTGCCTGTATTTTGGGATTTGTGGGTGAGTTACTGGTCATTCCCTCATTCTACTATTTGGTACACTGGCCAATTTTAAAAGGAGAAAATAGTCTAAACAGTATATGCGTTTGTCTGTGCCCTAAGTCATACAGTGAGCCTTGATAGGAATGCGCCACTAATAGGAGTAATTTATTACTTGGGTTTCATATTTTCTTCAGAGACAAAATGTCTCTTGGTTATTTTCTACTCTTGTTTTAATGATTTTTTTTTTTTTTTTTTTTTTTTTTTTTTTTTTTTTTTTAAATCCTCAGATATGAGCCAGAGGACTAAAACTCCAAGAACATCTGATCTATCAGAAGCTGCCGTAGAAAGAAAATGTGGACTGGTATTATTTTTCAATAATTTTTGTTCTGAATGGTATATTTTTTGCTTCTAGTGCTTAAAATAACTTTTTATTAATACTAATAAGATCCTGAAACTCCTATCTTACTCCCTTATAAACCTACAATTTATAGGTATTAGTTTCTGTAGTAGTGTTTTTAATTGTTAACCACCAACATTCCTTGAGAAATAGCGAACAGGAGCTTATTAAAGTGAGACCGTTCCCTACAAAGAAAGGAGTTTATTTTTGTTAAGAAAAGAAAAATAGACAAAAAATAAGTATTAGAGTTTTTTGATGTCTCTGAGGTGGAAACTCCCATTGTTACTTTTGGTATAGTTAATGTAGCCATGAAATGGCATTACATGTGAAAATTGCATTAGTGGAAGTAAAAAGTAGGAGGAAAAAAGAGACGCTGATTCTGTAATGTTATTTCACACTGGACATCTCATACCTCAGCAAAATGTGGTCAGTAACATTTTGCTAGAGGGTGTTCATTAGATAGTGAGGTAAATATGCTTTATAGTGGAAGCGCTGGACCTTTTCAAATAAAGCCACTAATTGGAGTTATACTTTTTCACTTGAATTTATTTGAAACAAATTTGGACATCAGAATATAGATTCTGATTTTGCCACTGTTCTTAATGTTAAGATGGTAATCTGAAAAAGCATAGGGAAGTTGCTAATGGAGCAACTTTCTTGGGAAATAAGTTATTTTAGATGTTTTCATCTCCTTTCTTATTGTAACCTGACCAGAAAACAGCTTACTTCTCTCAAGTCTTTTGCTCGTAATCCTCTGCCTTGCATTTATCTGGAAGCCTCTAAATAGTGCATTCTACTTGTTCATCTGTCCCTGTTCATATGTATGTTGTATTTTACTCCAAATAAAACCATTATGTTTTCAAACACTTAATCTTCAAGGAGCTGGTTTTTTTTATAGGAATGTTTTGTATAGCTCTTTTTTTAATATCTGTAGAAAGGAGTGGCAGATCAGTAAAGAATCTTGCTAGAAATGCGAACTTGTAAATTACAGATTCATGCCCAAAGCCACACCATGTCAAACAGCTGTGTACCAGTGGCAGGGCTGGGAAAAGGCTGGTGTGTGTGTATGTTACAGAAACGCATTTAACAGCGCTTGCCTCAGGAGCTGCTTGAACTGAAATGGATCATTTTTCCTCATTCTTTCTCAAATGGGCAAAGCTGCTAAAATTGCTCAAGCAGTGATGCCCCAGTCAAATCTGCCATACATTTGCAGTCTATAAATTCTTTTGTTGTCCTTTTTCCCCCACTGGTTAAGCAAGATCGGTTTGGGATAAAGTCCTGTATCTATCATGATATTATTGCTGTAACATGATAGTAGGGCTTTATGGGGCGATATATGCCTCATGCAGTGTCAATTAAATCTGTGTTTGCTCAAAGCAATTATGTTGACACCAACAGGTGTACTTGTCTGGGTGAATATTGTGTTTTTCTTTGTAATGAAACTTATTTTAATGAGATCAGTTACTATTTCTAAAATGGCAGGTAAAGGGTGAAGAAAGGCAGAGAATCTTACGATTTCTGCTGGTTTTCTCTTTTCTGATAAACTTTGGCTGTTGACTTAGCTAGAATATTGTCTTTGTGATAGGCCTTCATTCTCTGCTTAAAAACCATTTTGACAAGAAAGCATGCTCTCAACTTCAGAATATGGATAGGTCTCAGTGAAATAAGTTGGCTGTAGGCAAGTGTGGTTACAGACCTTGTTATCTCCTCAAATGGGTAAGGCAAATCTTGTAGGGAACTGTGCAGCACAAAATTGAAACACTGACTTTGATTACCTGTCTTGCAGATTGCCAGTTTAGTGAGTACAAGATCAGTGTGATGCTGTCATCGGTTTGTGTTGCATGATGGCTAAGGTAAAAGGTCTTGTGTGGAGCTCTTGAGAAAAAAATACATCATCTGTCAAAGATTATGTACTTGTCAAAGAAGACCTGGAGCATTACACAGTAGTGATTCTCTTTTTTCTTGAGATAGATACAATATTTAGAAGATGGAGAGGACATCTGAATTTCTCCTGATTGTGTCTGATGTTTCTAAAACTTCACTTCTTTCCCTGAAGTGTAAATTCTAATGCTGCTTTTACCAGCCTTTGTTTTTCAGAAGTTCATTATACTGCTCAAATAGACATCATCCGTTTTTTCCACTTCAGCTGTTAATTCCCTAGTTATGCCTGAAAGGAATGTTTAAAAAGAAAATTTCTCTATAACTGGCTGATCTGCAGGAATCAAATCTCTTTCAAGCTGGGTAGGGTTTTTTTGCTTGCCAACTGAAGCGTATTTTCTACGGGAATGAAATCTAGGCAGCTCAGCTTCACTAGTATTGACTCTGACAGCTAAAAAACTACCCTGTGCTGTAACGGTGACCTGAGTTCAGCAGTTGGTCATTAATAAATGAGCCAGCAGTGCTGCATGCTACCTTCTTAATGAGACAGTATATTACCTGATGTTCTGTCACTGTTCATCGAGTACTCCTTAATCTGTTTTTCTCTTGTGGATAATAGCCTTTTTTTTTAATGTCCTAAGATGAATGCTAATATATAACACTCACTTAAACTGCAAGTGCTCCTCTTTATTTGATAGACCAATGCAAGGACAGCTGCAATTTGGACATTTCTGACATACCTTGCTTTTGGGAAACCCAGAGTCATCGGCCAGGCACTTAGATTTCAATTCAGCTTAGAAGTTCTTAAGGTTCCTCAGTCTGATTTCCTCCTTCTGGCGTTATCAAGGACTGCTCTTGGCTTCTGCATGATACCAAATGCTGTCAGACCACAGTCAAATGATTCTTACTGCCTCAGGAAACAAACGTGAATTATCTTGGGGTGTCACGTGGCTGAATGGATCAAGCTTAAAAAGTTTGAGCCATTCTAGGAGGCCAGGCCTTTTAAAACATGTTAAAAAACAATTTAACGTGATTTGAAGATAAGTTTGTATGTGAGCAGGTAAGAATTGTTATTGTAATTGTTATTGTAAATGTTTCTAACTGGCTTTCAGCAGAGAATGTGCCCACAGGAGTTACCCTATGACTGTTAATTTTGACAATGTCCCGGTGAAAGCGTTTCCCCAGGATTCCTGCCCTGCTCTGGCCACCTACAGAACTCTCCCTGACGGCACCTAGATCTGCTCTCCTTATCGGAGTCTCCTCTCAGACATACCCTGAAACATTAGGCAGCCTATTTGGAGTCAAGTCTTCTCCAAATAAAGGTGGGTAGATACATGTCATTCTATTTCATCAGTCTTAATATCTAGAGACACTGATTTTTATCACTTTTTAATTATTATTTTTAGGAACCTGTTAATGTAGTGTCTTGGAGTGTGTGTTGTAAGTGATGATGATGCTGAGTGGTTGGCGCAGGACTCTGACAGGGCAGCTCACAACTGACAGCTGCTGCTGAACAAGAGAGCTGCCTGGAGACCTCCCTAAACTGCAGGCAAGTTTTGACAGAGAGAGAGCATGAACTGGCAGAAGACAAGCAGAAGAGCTGACTGAATAGGCCAGGTATCCTTTTGATTTTAGTGAGATGCCAGTTTGTGGCTCTCTTGCTTTACACAAGTAGATTCTGAGGTCTGGGTGAATTAGGTGCAATTCTGTGATGCAGAACCGCATTGAGTGCACCTTTACGGATGGAGTACCCTAAAAAACCCCACAGTTAGAAGATGGATAGAGCTGTGGTGCTAAGGAAAAGCAAGGAAAATAAAAAGAGGGACTCCTCAGGCATGCTTTCTTGGGGATAAGGCCTCCATAAAGATGCTTTATATTACTGATCTCTGGGGACTGAGAGATGTGTCAAAACTGTGCGAAACAGTTTCAAGGGTGATTAAGGGACTGGATATGACTTCAGGGTACAGACCTCAACGGTATCATCTACAGTTAGGAACCAAGCAGCAAGTAGTAGTGATGAGCTGGGAGGAATAATTGCAATCCTAAAAACTACTTACAGGAGTAACTGTAATCTCCAATTACATGTAGAGCAATCATCTAACAGTTGTCATGGCCTGTGAGTTGTCAAAGATCTGGAAACCCAGCTGGATTCTTTCTTTCTCCTAAAGTAAGGCCACATGGAGCTTAGAGTAGCAACTGTGAACAGTGAATCCAAACAGAAAAACTGTTATGTGGGGGCTGCAACTCTCTTGGCTGTATATCTGCTTCCCTTGATAGCATCACTAAACATTTGCAGAGGCTGTAGAGACTCTTCCATCACTTCCCTTTGATAATCATCTAATATGCTAACACCCAGCATGTTTCCATTTGTAAGGGAGTGCCTCCAGGAATGGCAGGTACTAAACACCAGAGCTGGCCCCTGCTGACACTTTGTCCCCCTCCAACATATCTGGCTCATCAAGGAAAGCCCAGAGAGTTTATTTTTAAATCTAGGGGTTATAGACCCCCACTTGGGTCACAACAATCCCATGTAACGCTACAGGCTTGGGGAAGAGTGGCTGGAAAGCTGCCTGGTGGAAAAGGACCTGGGGGTGGTGGTAGACAGCCGGCTGAACATGAGCTGGCAGTGTGCCCAGGTGGCCAAGAAGGCCAATGGCATCCTGGCTTGTACAGAAATAGTGTGGCCAGCAGGAGTAGGGAAGTGATCGCTCCTCTGTACTCAGCACTGGTGAGGCTGCACCTCGAATACTGTGTTCAGTTTTGGGCCCCTCACTACAAGAAAGACATTGAGGTGCTGGAGCGTGTCCAGAGAAGGGCAACAAAGCTGGTGAAGGGTCTAGAGCACAACTCTGAGGAGGAGCGGCTGAGGAAACTGGCCTTGTTTAGCCTGGAGAAAAGGAGGCTGAGGGGAGACCTCATCGCTCTCTACAACTACCTGAAAGGAGGTTGTAG